TTTTTTTTCATGTTTTAAATCATTTGAAATATCAGTATTCAACGTTTTATGTTAAAAACAAAACATTATTTATGCATCTGTAACTGCAGTTTAAATGCATCCATGTCCCCTCTGAGATACATTAAACGGTGTAAATACATCTAAATGCTATTTCAGATGCAGATTCCAGAAATGTTTTCTTATGTTGGAATGAAAGACTAAGTACCAGATGAAGTGTTTCTTATTCTTACCCAAAAATGCGAAATGGAAGAACGTTAAAACTGAACACAATCTTGCTACTCAAGCTGTGCATTTTTATATATATTTATTTGCTTCTTTGCCATTTTGCATTTACTCAGGGCCGGCGCTAGCTATAGGCAGAGCAGGCGATTGCCTAGGGCATCGGGCTTTGAGGAGGGGCCTCCATAACCGTAGCATCTCCTATATGCTAGTCCACCAGTCAAGACGGGCAGAAATACTAGCCTCATTGTTCATTGGATGTAGTTGAATTGTCACTCATCTGCAATTAAACCAATTAATGTTGCAGTTTCAAAGCGGGTCCCACCTTCTGAATGTTTGCATAACGAAAAGATTAAACAGTGCGATGCAAACGGCTAAATAGGCACGCAAAGAAGTACAGCTCCTAATGCAGGTGTGTGAGTTGTTGTCATCTATTTTGTAGTGATTGCAATGTATTCTAAATATAAACTTGTTCTGTCGATCAGCGTTATTTCTGGAAAGATCATTCACTGCTTTATACTATGTACCAGTTTTAAAGAGCACGAGCGCCGTTGACGGGCCTGACGCGACGCTTTGAATTTGCGCGTACAATGAATGACATTGAGTCGGGAGCTGACTAGCAAAATAGCTACAAAAAAATAAAAGCAGAGAAGTTTGCTTTTTAATACAAACACACTAAAACACTTTTTTTAATGGTTCAAATAAATGATCTCAGGTGTATATTCTAAATTCGGCTGATGATTAGGATTACTGCTCTAACATAACACTTATAATTTCAGTTTCAACTAACTAAACTTTTTTCTGCTTAGTATCGATCGTGTCTTTCTGTTCCACTTGATTTGTGTATATATATGTCATATTTAAGGTAACAATGCAATACATAATATCATATTATTGTAATTAATAATATTACAATATCTGTAGTCAATATTGATTAAATGGGACGGGGAAATCCTGCATACCCAGCTAGGAAATAAATGATAAAAGCACTTACTGAAGTGGTATTCTGGAACTGTGATTAAATTAAATAAATTAAATTAAATTAAATAAAACAGCAAAATAACAACAACAATAACATCTTCATCAAACAAAAAAAGAGATTACCTTAGATAAAGCATGATTAATATGTACATACAGTACCGGTCAAAAGTTTGGACCGTTACTATTTTTAATGTTTTTAAAAGAACATAAAAGAAAGACATGTCTTATTATTATCAAGCCTGTATTTATTCAAAAATACAGAAAAAAAACAGTAATATTCAGCAAGAATGTGTTTGAGATAAAAAGTGATAGTAAAGACTTAGTTTGTTATAAAATATCTATATTTTTATTTTAAAACATCTTTTTAATAATCAAAAAATCTTAGGGTTATAAAATAAACATTAAGCACTGTTTCTAACATTGATAATAAATCAGCATATTAGAATGATTTATGTAGGATCAGGTGACACTGAAGACTGGAGTAATGGCTGGTGAAAATTCAGTTTTGCATCACAGAAATACAGTAAAATATAAAACCATTATTTTAAATTGTAATAATATTTCACAATATTATTGTTGTTGTTTTTCTGTATTTTTGATCAGACAGGCTGAATCCAGGCTTGATGACCATACGAGACGTCTTTCAAAAACATTTAAAATAATAATGTTTCTGTAATGTGGTGTTTTGGGTTGTGTTTCTTGTTCATGTTTTCATGTCTTTTATTTTGGAGTTTAGTTATGGTTCCTGTTAGTGTCATGCTTCCCTTGCCTCATGTCTCTCTGCCTTGTGTATTTGTCATATTCTGATTGGTTGTCTTAGTCATGTGTCTTGTTTCCCATTGGTTTGTTCATGTCATGTGACCCT